TGAGGTGATCCACCCGCCTCCACCTCCCAAAGTGCTGGAATTACAGGCATGAGCTACCTGTGCCCAGTCTAGCTGTATCTTTAATCAAGTAATCTTTGTGTTTTAGTGATTTTTGCTTTATCTTGTTAGCTCTTTTATTTCTAGGTGTCTGCGGGTTTATGACTGTTAGATCTCTTTTCTAAATTGTGCTTTTTATCATTATAATGTGGCTCTTTATCCTGCTTAATGTTTTCAGCCTGACATTCTATTTTGTCCAAGATTAATAATCCTACCCTTTTCTTCTTTCTTTTTGCCTTCTCCCTTTCTCATTTGCCTGCTGTCATTTTTGCCCCTCTCTCGGGCTTTAGAAACCTTTCCTTCTGAGTTAGTTTTAAGTGGTTTTTGATAAGCAGCCTGTTGCTAGGTTTTGTGTTTTCTTTTTAAAATGCCAAAAGTTCAGAGCCCGTGTTATCATTGGAGCCTTCAGTTCATGCTGACTTAATGTAACAGCTGCAAAACTTGGTTTTGTTCATTTCGTTTTTAAAGATTTTACATGGCTGTTTCTTCCTTTGCTTTCCTTAGTGATGCTGATGCGAGCATGTTGCTCTTTGTTTCCTGGTTCATTGGGAAGTTCTGCCACTCTGATCCAATTTGTTTTTGTTGTGTTTTGAGATGGAGTCTCACTCTGTTGCCCAGGCTGGAGTGCAGTGGCGCGATCTCGGCTCACTGCAACCTCCAGCTCCTGGGTTCAAGTGGTTCTCCTGCCTCAGCCTCCCGAGTAGCCGGGAATACAGGTGCGCCACCACACCCAGCTAATTTTTTGTATTTTTAGTAGAGATGGAGTTTCACTGTGTTGACCAGGCTGGTCTTGAAGCCGACCTCAAGTGATCCACCTGCCTTGGTCCCCCAAAGTGCTGGGATTATAGGAGTGAGCCACCGCGCCTGGTCTGGTCCATTTTGTTATTGCTACTTTCTCTGTCCTGGTATTTAGAAGCCCATTATTTCCTGTAAGGAGTTTTATTTCATCACTCCTTTCCCCCATCAGATGAGAAATACATCACCTATCTATTGTCACTCTTTTCCCTGTCCTTCCCCCCAGAATGAGAGCTTTGGAAAGCTTTCATGTGCCCCCTCTGGTCTCTTCTGGGAACTCTGAGATGTTGCTGACAGGAGCTAGTACTTTCTATTCTTCTCCTTGTCACCCCCCATCTTGAGGGTGTGGGTCTGAGTCATTCGAGTGTGTGTGGCGTGGTCTCAAAATCTGCGCAGCTGCAACGGTTTCACTTTGGAGTGGACGGCAGCTTGGCTGCTGGCAAGCCTCTTGCGTTGCAGTCCTTTTCTCTCGGGCCTCTGCAGCCGTCTTCCCACAGCCTCCCAGGCCCCAGGGTTGCAGGTGAGAAGCCCAGGCTTTTCTTGTTGATGGGAGAACTCCCTTGTTCTTTCTGGTTGGAAGCTTTTAAGATGCTCCCCTTGACCTTGGAGATGAGAGATTCTCCCAGAATACGCCTAGGTGTGAGTTTTTGTTCCTCAACCCTACCTAGAACTTGGGGTGCCTTTCTTTCTGCAGACTCAGGCCTGTCTTCAGAGAAATGTCTTTTGGTTTTTGTTTAATGATTGTCTCTCCTGCTTCTGACATCTTTGTGATTTGCTGTTGAGTCTCCTGCATCTATCTTCTGAGTCTCCTGCCTTTTCCCTTGTGGTTTCTATCTCTTGATCTGTCACATTTTTCAGTCTCTGTTTTTTCAGTTTCTTCCCTGAGATGCAAGTTTATTGATCATCCTAAGTTGTCACATTTCCTCTGGTGGCTCTATTTCATCAGGGTCCTGCTCTGACGGTTCTGTTTATTCTTCTCTGACTGCCAGATCCCCTCATGTGTGTTGCTGTTTTCTTTTCTTTTCTGCTTCACCCTCTTTTAAATGGCCGCGGTTCTTAGAGTGATGAAAGGGGTGGTGGCTTTGGCCCCCGAGGGCTGGTGGTGTGACAGCCAGCCTTTTTCTTCCCCACGTCATCCTGCTGTTTCAGTCTCGGAGGTGGCGAAGCTTCAGCTCATCAGTGTAACTTTTTCTTACCTTAACGGAGAGAAGAGGAAAGTTGGGTTGTGGGCTTGACCCAGGCTGCACTCTGACCTCCACGCAGAAATGGTCATCAGGCTGTGAGGTAATTGTCCACGGCTCAAGAAACATTTGGGGCTGGGCACAGTGGCTCACACCTGTAATCCCAGCACTGTGGGAGGCCAAGGCGGGTAGATCGCCTGAGGTCAGGAGTTCGAGACCAGCCTGGCCAACATGGTGAAACCCTGTCTCTCCTAAAAATGCAAAAATTAGCTGGGTGTGGTGGCAGGTGCCTGTAATCCCAGCTACTCGGGAGGCTGAGTCAGGAGAATTGCTTAAACCCGGGAGGCGGAGGTTGCCGTAAGTTGAGATCACACTACTGGACTCTAGCCTGGGTGACAAGAATGAGACTCTGTTTCAAAACAACAACAACAAAGAAAAGAAACATGACATGGTATCATGTATTCTTACTTTTGCCAAACCTCATAAAGACAGGTGCAGCGTGTTATTCCCCCACCAACTGTATTGAAGATAGTCCTTCGCACAGTAGGTGCTTGTTAAATATGTTTTGAAGGAGCAAGCAGGTGGGTGTATGAAGCACAGTGGAAGCCCTCAAAGAGACAGGAGGTACTCAACTGGGAAAAGTCTTGTTCTGTGGCAGGGGGGCCAAGCATGGCACAAAGACGTCCCCTGCCCTGCTCACAAAACATGTGAGTTCGGACTGATGCATATTTCATTAGCCAAGAATGAAAACGTCTTGCAGAAATCAAGGTGGCCACACAGGGATGGGGACAGATGTGGCAGTTCTCTAAGCACATCTGCTGGCTCCAGAGCTGCAGTGTGGAGGGGGTGTCAGGGGACTGTGCCCATTGGCTGCACTGGCACCACCTGGGTGGAGGGGGCTCTTGTGGGGCTGAAGAAGCACGTTTATGATGCTGTGGGGCTTAGATAACCTTCAGGAAGAACCCACCTGCCTGTGTCTTTCATGCGGTGTGAGGCTGTAGGCTCTTCCTGGTTCTCATTCAAGCCAGCCTGGCTGGAAACAGAATGATCTTGGGGTGGGGTGGGCATTGGACCAGAGTTAGTACTCAGGGGTCTCTGACCACCACCCCTACCTCTGTCTCCCAGCATCCCAGAAAGTTCATCCGTCTCCCCAGGAGAGGGGTACCAGGACTGTCACCCACCGGGATGAGAAGTGACTTAGTAGAGAGGAAGTGTGGTGTGAGCATGGGGGCCCCTCATTCCCTTCTGTTCTTATGCTGCTTATCTCTCATTTTGTTAAAGCCATCACAGTCTCAGATCCTGTCATCATAGCCCAATAAATGGAAGGAGAATAAAAATAGCAGGAGCACTTTTTCACTGCCGCCCCGAGAAAGAGGAGACGCGAGTTCTGTGGGCCTCTGTGTTTCCCATGAGATGTGGCTCAGGCGTTGATGTCAGCCCTGGCCTCAGACCCTTTCCTACCAGGAAGAAAGGAAGAACCGCTATTTTGGGCAGTTGCCAACTCCTCCCGCCACCTGCCGGGGCTCCAGGCAGTGTGCTCTCATTTTGAAAGGCTAAAAGTCACAGCTTTGTCCTACTCATACAAAGCACCCTTTTCTGCCCTTCCCAGGGCTGGGGGAGAGGGAAAAAAAAGAAAAACTTCACACACATCTCAGACCTCAGAACACTTCTTCCCCCCCAAAGGCTGGCAATTTAACAAGGTCAATCCAAACCAAAATTACAGAGTGTTTTGGGTAAAACTATCTGTGACTGGCTGATGTAAAGAAATGCTTTGAGGAAGAAAACAAGCAAACATTCTCCATGAAAAACCCGGAAAGTCAACTCCTTGGAATGCTTTCTGACTCCTTTCAGAGGTAACAGGCGTTCTGCTTCTTCCTGCTCCAGCCATTTCCCCAGTGGTGCTTGCTTGATGCGCACCCTGCCCCCCTGCATTCCTGCAGCATTCCTTCCCCTGCACCTCGTTCCTCTGCCCTTCCTGAGCTCTCACCCATGCACCTGACCATCTCTGGCCTCTCTCTGTGTCACCCATTGTGTTGGCTGTGGCACTGACGGGGTCCCCCCCCTTTTTTTTTACATGGAGTCTTGCTCTGTTGCCAGGTTGGAGTGCAGTGGTGTGATCTCAGCTCACTGCAACCTCTGCATCCCAGGTTCAAGTGATTCTCCTGCCTCAGTCTCCTGAGTAGCTGGGATTACAGGCGCATGCCACCACACCCAGCTAATTTTTGTATTTTTAGTAGAGACAGGGGTTCTTCATGTTGGCCAGGCTGGTCTCGAACTCCCAGCCTCAGGTGATCTGCCCACCTTGGCCTCCCAAAGTGCTGGGATGCCACTGCACCCAGCTGCCATTTGTTTTTAAATGGCGAAAACCGCAATTCCTTTTGCAACCTAGTATGCTAATTTTTAGACTCTGTTCTCACTTAACAGTGTATTTCAAAAACGTCTTCCCAGCTATGGACAGATGTTGCAAGACGCACGGAATACAGGCATATGTGGCAGCTCTGATAAACACACAGCTCTTTTCTTTTTTCTTTTTTAGCCCAGGGTAGGATATCTGAGATTCTTGCATTTGAAAGGTACAAGGACCTAATATGACCTAGAAAGGTCGGAACTTTTGCTGAGCATTCTGTTTCATGGGGATATTTAAAGATGGAGGAAACTGCTGTTCAGTCTTAGGGTCAGATGTCCATGAGATTGAGCTTTGCCAGATGTCCGTGCTGCCCAGGATGTAGATACCTTCTTTAGCACTGGCTCGCCCTGTGGCTTCAAATGTGTAAGTGGAGACTGAGGAAGAGTGGGTGAAACCATTGCTATCCCCCAAAGGCAGGAACCCCACCTGGCTTGTTCACTGCTGTGTCTCTAGTACCTAGCCCAGTGCCTCCTATACCTGAGGTGTTCAGTAAACGTCAGATGACTAGCGTGGCAGCTCTAGGGTGACTTGCACACTGACAGTCTTCGTGTCTCTTTCAGGAGGGTTGGAGTGCAGGCGGTTGGTGCGTGGCCTGAAAGGCAGAAGCATTAGCATGAAGGCGCCCACCACTTCCCGAGCCAAGCAGGGGCCCTTCAAGACCATGCCCCTGCGGTGGTCCTTTGGATCCAAGGAGAAGTCATCGGGTGCCTCCGTTGAGTTAGTGGAGTACTTGGAATCCAGACGAAGGCCTCGGTCCACCAGCCAGTCCATTGTGTCGCTGTTGACGGGGACCGCGGTTGAGGACGAGAGGTCAGCATCGCCGAGGTCAAACGTCGCCCTTCCTGCTAAAAGTGAAGATGGTGGGCGAGCCGTCGAAAGAGGTCCAGGCGGGGTGGCCTGTCCCTCGGCTCAACCCAACCACTGTCTGGCCCCTGGAAACTTAGATGGTCCAAACACAGCAAGGAAACCCAAGGAAAATGCAGTGCAAGATATTAGGCTTCCCAGAAAGTTTGACCTGCCCCTCACTGTGATGCCTTCAGTGGAGCATGAGAAACCAGCCCGACCAGAGTGTCAGAAGGCCATGAGCTGGAAGGAGAGCTTCCAGATGGGAAGCAAGAGCAGCCCACCCTCCCCCTATGTGGGGTTCTCTGGAAACAGCAAAGACAGCCGCAGAGGCACCCCTGAGATAGACAGACCCCTGCAGGGGACACTCACCCTTCTGAGGTCTGTGTTTCGGAAGAAGGAGAACAGGAGGAATGACAGGGCAGAGGTCTCCCCACAGGTGCCCCCCATCTCCCTGGTGAGTGGCAGGCTGAGCCCTGCCATGGATGGGCGGGTTCCAGGCTCACCTCCTTCCTTCAGGATCCCAGAGGGCCTGGCCAGGGGCCTGGGTGGCCGGCTGGAGAGAGATGTCTGGTCAGCCCCCAGCTCTCTCCGCCTCCCTCGCAAAGTCAGTAGGACTCCGAGAGGCAGCGCGCTGGGCACGTCGCAAAGGACTGTTCCAGGGGAGCAGGCTTCTCATGGCACCTTCCAGAGGGTCAAATACCACACTCTTTCCTTAGGTCGAAAGAAAACCTTACCGGAGTCCAGCTTTTGATGGAGCGTGTCAGTATTGTGTGACGCTGGCGTTCGTGGGACTTTGCCGAGCAGTTGTAGGCAACTTGTGTTGAGAGTGGGTTTCCAGGAAGCCAGTTGTCTTATAATCCCTGAAAAAAAAATTTTTTTTTTGGTCTCCATATCTAGACTTTCAACACCTAACTTCCACATAACCCAAGGTCCAAAACCTTCCTGTATGGTTGGATGCTTTGCTACAGTCTGGCCACTAGAGGATGCTATTGGGTCAGTATTTCCAGTTTCAGGGCAAGAACTGATATTTACTAAAGAGATTTGGATGTGGGCAAACTAGGTGAGCCTGGTTAATAAGAATCTTCAATATCATGTCAAATGTTGTCATTGACTTCTTCTTTTTCTTTCTTTCTTTTTTTTTTAAATTGTGGATTTAGAGAAAAATATTTTATTTTTAATGCTTTTCTGGGATAAGCATTAAAGATGCCAAAAAAGAAAATAAAAATGAGAACAGAATGATAGTGATGGTCAGGCAAGATTCTAGCAAAGAGAGATGAGAGAGAAATGACTGAGATTTCAGGTGAATATTTAATATATTAAAAGTTGTATTAAAGTTTTTCAAGGCATTTTAAAAATGACTATTTTGATACTAGAAAAAAAATGTTCATTTTTAAATTTAAATATGAAATCTATGTACCATTTTAATAAAATCCCGTCCATGGAACCTGCATGTCTGTCTAAATTATTCAAGTATGATAAATGACCTTGCTTCATTCCTGCTGAGTAAACTTGCTTTGTTGCTGTTGCTATCAGAAAGTAGTTTCTTGAGTTCTTTCTTTTCTTTTTTTTGAGGCAGAGTAATTTTAGGTACTATAAGTATTATGAAATTTAACAGGATCACATGCAACTTGGTCAGGGAAAGCCAGTGTGGGCATTCGGCTACTTGCTGAGGTCAGTCAACTAAGCACTCAGAATACTGAAATATCCTAAGAAAGAGGCCAGTTTCCACTGGGCCTGCCAAGATGCAAACTTGGGTTAGGAATCCGTTTATCACCTGGCCACCATAAGCTCCTGTTCAGACTGAAAAAGCCCAGTGGTGCTCTGGCTTCCTGGGGCTTAGTGTCAGCCCAGGCAAATGGCTGCAGTTTCTTTTGGGAATGGCTGGGAGAAACTTTATGGGGCAGATGTGGGGTCATAGAAGGATTCTTCCTCAATAGTACCCAACCATCCTGTCATTTAAGAGAGTCTGGATTCTACATGGATGAGTTCTTAAAAAAAAAAGGAATCTGGATTTGTGAACTGAATCAGGTCAGGGAATCAGATGAAAACACTCTTCAATGGAGGTTACATATCTAGTTTTCTATACGTGAGCATGTTTGGTTGGAAATAATGAAGAACGGAGTAGCCTGCCTGTTGATTTAGTGTCTGGAGCACGAAGTCACAGCCAGCACTCTCTGCATGTTGTACCATCCCTGGAGATCTGATTGCATGACTGTCCACTTTACCACTAATGGCTAATTGCCATGATCTAGGCTTGACCACTTTGGGCTTCTCCTATTGCCCCAAGGTCAAGGCCCTTGTTTGAACAGCACCCCTATCCAGCAGGATTCCTGTTTGAGTACAGACATGAAGTGCTATTTTTTTGTTTTTGTTTTTTGTTTTGAGACAGGGTCTTGCTCCGTTGTGACCCAGGCTGGAGTGTGCAGTGGTGCGACCATAGCCCACTGCAACATAACCTCCTGGGCTCAAGCGATCTGCCCACCTCAACCTCCCAAGTAGCTGGGACTACAGGTACATACCACCATGCCCAGCTATTTTTTTTTTTTTTTTTGTATTTTTGTAGAGATGGGGTCTCCGCATGTTGCCTAGGCTGGTCTTGAACTCCTGGGCTCAAGCAATCCACCCACCTTGGCCTTCCAAAGTCCTGGGATAACAGATGTGAGCCACCATACCCAGCCCATGAAGTGCTTTTTAAGGACCTCTTTGCTTACTTAATTTTATCTGTCACTCCTGGCAAGGCTGAAACACTGGGGGATGTGAGAAGTGGTGTGGGGGCGGAACACATGGGAAAACCACAAGCTTAATATAAAGAAATATACCTTATTAACTACAACATGTTACAGCATAACAATAGTATAACAGAGTATTGAGGAATTGGTTCATAATAAAAGAATTCTAAAGAATGTGCGAGGGCCGGGCACAGTGGCGCATGCCTGTAGTCCCAGCACTTTGGGAGGCTGAGGTGGGTGGATCATTTGAGGTCGGGAGTTCAAGACCACCCTGGCCAACATGGTGAAACCTTGACTTAGCCAGGCAGTAGCAGCATACTCCTGTAATCCCAGCTACTCAGGAGGCTGAGGCAGGAGAATCGCTTGAACCCGGGAGTTGGAGGTTGCAGTGAGCCGAGATCGCACCATTCCACTCCAACCTGGGAGACAAGAGGGAAACTCTGTCTCAAAAGAAAAAAAAAAAAAAAGAGAATGTGGGAATCACAGATATACCTCTAGGGGCTCAGATAGAGTATTCAGGGATGAGACCCTACATCCCCCCAGGACTGGGGTGACAATCTGTGGTCCTCTGGTTGGAGAGGAGTTAAGTGGTACTGCACCCTGGAAGGCTGGAAATCTGCCTTTCGGGGTGTTGTAGGGGAAGCTTTTCATAGAAGGTATCTCCCAGGAGGCACACCAATACAGTACTCCAAAGGGTTTGCTGGGGAAGCTGCTGGCTGCTAGGCACCATGCAAGCTGGATGTTGGAAAAACCACCTGCATTAAAGGAGCCTGCTGCTGGACATGCTGCCTCTGCTGCAGGAGCTGGGCACTGGGGAAGCCCTGTCTGTGCTGCAGGGGGTTGTTGAGAGAGCACCCCAGAAGCCAGGACAGAAAACCACTTCCTTCTGAAATCCCTCTCCAGCGCCCTCTGCTGACAATACTTGACATCGTACCGTCTGGAAATGGAAAAAAATCTAAAGGGCTCAGATCAATTTTCATAGAGCAGACAGTGAAGCATAAATTAGAAGACAATACATTGATACCTGGCACAAGTATATTTTTTCCTATTAACATTTTGTAAATAAATGGGCATCTCTTAAGGGGTCTCATCTTTCTGTAGGTAGCTCAATTTCTGTGCCCCCTCCTCCAGCCTTCCAGAGATAATACTCCTTTAACTCTGCAGGGACCAAACACCCAACCAGTATTCAGTTACAATACTCCTTTGTGCTGTTTGGCTTCTGTTCACTGGTATGACTTTGAAATTCTCCTTTTTTACTGGCAACTGAAGAGATCTCTTTCTTAATTTTGAGCTTTCCTGTCTCTTAAAAATTTTGTTGTTTTATTTTATCTCTGCAATCAGAGGAAGAAGTCCTTTAATTCAATTCAGCCTGCCACATTGACTGGAAGTTGACTCAGAAGTAGTGGGCAAGAAGCAAAATGAACAGGTACACAGAGATGGGGAGAAGAATATTTTACATGTTAGTATGCAAAGTCATGATGTGGTTTTGTAAACACAAAAACAGATGGGACCACCTCTTAGTAGTTTCCTCATAGACCAGATAAATTTTTAGTCTGAATTGGCCTCTTGATTTCCTAAACAAGTGAATATCCTTGCAAAAGAAGGGAAAACTCCCTATATTCTATATAAAATGTTTACTGCTTTTTGTTAACTATTGACCAATGTATGACCATAGTAAAAAAATTCAAATATACAGAAGAGCTGAAAGAAAATGTCATAAGTGCAATCTAGCCAGAACCCCAATACCCTTCCCAGAAGTCACTATCACCAGTTTGGAGTATTTCCTTCCATATTACCATATTTTCTTTGTGCATTCCTCTTGTATGAGAAAAAATGTAACTTTCATTTGTATGTATGTTTATATGTAAATGAGAACATGATGCATGTATTTCTTGCAATTTGCTTTTATAGCTTGAAGATGTTTTCATATTGTCTTTTATGGGTACACCTCATTCTTTTCAACTGATGCTTTATATTCTACAGTACTACAGGTACCAAGGATTACTTAACCCCAGTGATGGGCATTTCATCATTTTATCCCCCTGTCTTTTCTATTTTACTTTATTTTTGAGACAGAGTCTCGCTCTGTCGCTGGGCTGGAGTGCAGTGGCACGATCTCAGCTCACTGCAACCTCAACCTCCCAGGTTCAAGCCATTCTTCTGCCTCAGCTTCCTGAGTAGCTGGGACTACAGGCACAAGTCACCATGCCCAGCTAATTTTTGTATTTTTAGTAGAGACAGGGTTTCACCATGTTGGTCAGGATGGTCTCGATCTCCTGATCTCATGATCCGCCCACCTCGGCCTCCCAAAGTGCTGGGATTATAGGTGTGAGCCCCTGCACCCAACTTTATCCAATTTTTTATCTTGTTTTAAACAAAGGAGCCACATAAATGGTTATGTTCTTCTTTAATTCAAGTTTTCATGAATTAAAAAAAGTATTCATGTCCTTCTGTATTTCTTTTCTTCACCTAGGTCTTGCACATAACTTTTATTATTTTTTCCCACATATTTGATTGTTTTCATTGCCATTGGAAATGGAATCTTTTTCTCTATTACATTTTCAAATGGCTGTGTGTGTGCGTGTGTGTGTGTGACAGAATCTCACTCTGTTTCACAGGCTGGAGTACAAAGATGCATTCTTGCCTCACTGCAACCTCCATCTCCTGGGCTCAAGTGATTCTCCTGCCTCAGCCTCCCATGTAGTAGGACAACAGGCGTGAGCCACCACATCCAGCTAATTTTTGTATTTTTCATAGAGATAGGGTTTCCCCTTATTGCCCAGGCTGGTCTCAAATGCCAGAGCTCAAGTGATCCACCTGCCTTGGCCTCCCAAAGTGCTGGGATTACAGGTGTGAGCCACTGTGCCCGGCTGTTTTTTCATTTTTAAAATTGGATCTTGTGTCTGGTCAGCTTGACTTTGTTATTTATTTTTTAAAAATAATTGTTTATTAATACTAATTTTGTCTCTTCCTTTTAAGTATTCATGCTTCTATTTTTCTTATTTCTCTGCACTAGTTATGACCAACTGTACTGGCTTATTTGTGGTGATGTCTAGTGTGTGACTTTAGTGTTTTACCTTTTGGAATGATATTTGTTGTAAATATCCTTCCTTTATGTTCCTTTAAGAAGTTGAGATCTTTAGCTAATATTTTCTTAAATTAGGAATGAGTTTTAATTTTTCAACTTTTTTATAGTAAAATGATCAAGTTATTTTTTGTAATTATTTAAAGTGTGTTTAAAATGTGTATTCTATGGGTACAAGTTTTATAAATAACTATTAGACCAAGTTTTATTGAATTATTCATAAACTCATAACATTTTACTATTTTTTTCCACTTGACTTATTGATTTTTGAGAAGACTATTAAAGTATTCCATGTTGTTATGATTTATCCACAGTATTTCCTTATGTTTTTGCTTTATATATTTAAAAACATTATCAGATGCCTGATTTGTCTATTTTGTTTGTATTTTGTCACTATATCGTTTTTTCTTAAATTTTATTTTGCTCATTATTTTGTCACATCTGTGTTCCCTTTGGTAGCATTTCACAAGTATATCTTTCAATGTTCCATTGTTAAGGTGTGTCTTTTGTGCATGCCAAACAGCTGAATTTTTTCTTAAACCTAAATCAGATGATCTCCATCTTTTAATGGGAAATTTAGCCTGTCTCATTTATTGTGATTACTGATAGTTTGGACTTATTTTTGTTTCCTTTCTGCCTTTTGTAATTGATCAGATCAAATTTCCTTTGTCCCTTCTTCAGTAATAGTTTTAAAATTTTATGTCTTATTTATATCCTAGTGTTTACTTTAAAATTTTATTTTACATATTATATTTTTCTGTCAATGGTTAGATTTAACCAGTGCAAGACACAAATCTTAACAAACTTTACTTGTTTTTATAAAAAAAAATTATTTTGGCTACTCCTGGACCTTTCTAATTCTAAATACATTTTAGAGTCAGTTAATTTATTTATATACCCATACAATTGCTAGGATATTGATTGGGATTTTATTTAATCTATAGATTGGTTTGGGGAGAGTTGACAATATTATAATATTGAGTCTTCTAATCCACAAACATAGCCTTCCAGCTGTTTCAGTCTCAATAACATTTGTAGTTTACTGTATAGAGTGATTTTTGTATTTTCTTGTGTTTATTCTTAGTTATTTGCCATTTAGTGGAACATCTAGAATTGCTCATTCATTCTTCAATCCAATAATTGCTCATTATTGGATTTATGTTTTCTAATATTGCCT